TCAAAAGAAAAATGAGAACAAGTGCAGAGACCATCTAAGATAAGGAACCCCTGAATAGGAGTGATGAAAACAACCTGCCTTATTCAACATTTAATCATTGAATCCTCAAGTTATTGTTTCTGTTCTGTCCACTATAAATCAAAGCTACAAGAGAGTAACTAAAAAAGAGAGATAATTCAAAAGTTTGAAATTTAATTTTCCCATCAGGACCATCAGTAAACCCAAAAACCGACTTGATTAATAAAATCCACAAAGACCCATCAGAGGAAAAGGGAGATAAGGATATTATTACCTTCCATTTGTAATTTCGTTTTTGCCAATGAATCCAAAGAAGGGTCCCTGGTTCGCTTCTTCAAGCTTTTTCTGCCGAAAGTACTCCTGAAGCTCCTTAGCCATTTGTCTCTGAAACTCCAAAGTAATTACATTAGGATCCGACCCAGCCACGGAAACCGGCTTGGGAGGAGCCGAAGAAGGGGCTGGCGGTAGAGTCAGGGACGGAGACGGAGATGGAGGAGCGGGTTTGAGAGAAGGAGAGGGTGGTCGCAAAGAAGGAGCAACGGGTCTTCGAACAGGTCCTTCGGCGTTGGAACTCCTTATAGTAATGATGGAAGATTTAGTAGCAGAGAACCTGAACGAAGAAGACGATGAAGTGGAGGAAGAGCAAGTTGCTGGTGTTGAAGAAGAGCAAGAAGAGCTACAGATTTTGATGCACGGGATTGAAGAGGAAGCCACAAACATTTTCCTTTGGGCCTTCTTTGCTCAGTTTTTTCTCTCTTGTAAGTCTGTATTTGATTTGCTTTTATACGTAATTTGGTAAGAGATGCAGAAGGAGACGACGATGATCGGGCTAATGCCTACCAAATAACCAAAGAACGCGTGAGAAACCTGTGGATAAGAATGAAACAGCCAACTGCCAAGTTTTGTTTCGATTTTCTCTTTCTCCATTCGAATTTTATTTTTGTTGAGAAAAGTCTTTACGGTGTCGAACTGTCGAAGTGGGTCTTTGGTAAGAGGAATCATTTCCATTGGAATCGCCCATTTTAAGGCGTTTGAAGAAATTGGCATGGAAACATGGCTACAAATCAGAAACCACTTTAAAAATCACGCCCCGATTCATGGTTCCAAAAAATGATAAAACTATCTCGGTCCATTTCAACCCCCAAGTGTGAACACAAATTTGAGAGTGACCAATTCCTCACATGATTTTCAAGGGATGATATCAATTATCAAATGCAATTTCTCAATATGGCTTGGTGAATTAGCTGAACCGTTGCTTAAAACCTTGGCATCACGTAGGCAAGGCCGGTCTATAAGCACCTCTGCCCTAGACCAGGTCGGCAATCTCAGGACCAAGTCGCCCATCACATGACCAAGTCGGGCATCTCAAGACAAGGTCGGCCATGGCAGGACCAGATTGCCCATCACAAGACCAAGTCGATCATCACAGGACGAGGTTGGCCATCTCAGGACTAGGTCGCCCATTACAGGACCAAGTCAACCATCTCAAGACTAAGTTGGCTATCACAAGATTAGGTTGCCCATCGCAGGACCAAGTCGGCTGATTGAGCGTGATCTGGCTGCTCCCAGTTGGAGGTGACTTGGTTTCCAGACGGACGGCGGACTGAATTTGCAAGGATATCAGAGAACCCCGGGATACTAACCCGGCGAGGTCGCTCCGATGCTTAAGTTAGTAGGCTAGTAGCGAGCTAAAATTGCTTGAAAATGAGAGAGCTTGAGAGCAGGAAATCACACATACCTTGCACCCCTGGGGGGTGGAGCCTTTATATAATGGAGTCCTCGCGGGTTTCGCGGAGTAGTTCCGGAATCCTCGTCATGATGAGATCCGTCTCTACGATTAATGGGAGATAGTGCTGCCAACGGATAGGGCTTATCGAGTCCGCTCGAATTGGTCGGGATAGATAAGGCTAGCTGTTACGCGGTGTGATCCCGTGGAGTCCAGGAACCGTCGGAGGGATTTTCGGGATCCTCGCAGTGGCATGTCGGTATCCCCGAGCTGACACCTTAAAGTTCCGAACTGGACTAAGTGTCGAAGTGCCTTGGCATTGAAGTATTCTTGTTGCGATCTGGTACCGAGGCGATCTCATTTCAGGGTGACTCTATCTCAGGGTTACCTTAGCTTGAGGTAGATGGGTATCCGAGACTGTTGTGCCGCAAACTGGTCATACTGAGCTATCATCTGTTAGCCAGGTCGTGTCCATGTTTCCCCCTGTTACGAGGTCGAGCCAAATCACCTTTCATCAATTGCCCCCCACTCCCCGAGCTAGGGGTCCAGACCTAGTACGGGGAGTTCATGATGTGACAAGTGGATTTGGCTCGAGGTTCAGGCCGCTTCATCGGATGAATCGTTGGTCAGACCAGTTTGGTTGTTCGGCTCAACCAAGAATAACCCGGGTTGCGTCTGGTTTACGCACGGACATCACGCGATCTACAAACTCCATGGACGTCAAAAAACGCGTTAAACCAATTTCAACCTCGGGGGTCGCGCAACCGGTTTTCTTAGGATCCGTCGGATCACTTTGATCTTGACCATTGATTCTCCGATACAGTGGCTATAAATAGGGAGATCCGAGACTCATTTTCTTTGCCATAAGTTCATTAGCCTTCGGTCTGAGGTCGCGTTCAAGCTCCTTAGCTCGGATTTTTCTATGCGGTGTTCCCTTTTCGGTTCGGTCTTCCTCCTTGGTGAGTCCTCCCTAGCTCTCCTCTTCGATTCAGTTTCTTTTTCATGTCTAGTTTCAGTTTCGATAGTCTTCTAGATGAGGCCGAGGTGGATGCCTCAGCCCAGGTCGATAGTCATACCGAAGCTACTTCGGGTTTAGAAATGGTCTATTGCCTTCCTGAGGTGCAACCACTCCGGGATGCTCGAGAGACCTCTGGTAACCAGGCATCCACTTCGCAGCGAGGTCGGGTGCCGGACAACTTCGGCCTGTCGACAATGAAGGCAAACAAGCTCCAGGCCTTGATAGCTCGGTACAATCTCCCGAACAGCCCCATCTACAGTCTTCCGCTAGGCAACTTCCCTTGGGAGCATGATCACAATGAGATCGTAATCTTCGAGGAGCAGCTCGTAACTGGTCTTCGCCTTCCGTTGCACCCCTTGATCGTAGAAGTCTTGAAGCTCTTTAACATTACTATAGACCAACTGCATCCAAACTCAATCCGCAATGTAATAGGAACCATCTCGCTTTTTTGCGACTATGACCTGTCCCTTGACCTCGATATCATCTCTTTGATCCTGTCCATCAAGAAGAATGCCTCCTGTGTCCTTCCCGAGCATAGGTGGACCTATTACCTGTCTCCTCGTCCGGGCTACAAGCTTTTGCACAAGCTCCCAAATAGGTCCCTCCTTGGAAGAGGGGCTACTTTGTGGTCTGAAATACTGAGGGATGGCCCTTCCCAACCCAATGGAGGGCGGCTATTCAGGATCCCGGTGTCAAGCTAGACCTGAAAACAAGGGAAGCACTCCAATCTTAGGTGGAGCTCGGCCTCAACTTCGCGGACTACGTGGTTGAAGACAAACTCGTGCAAGCTAGCCTAAGTCCTGGTAGGTCGTCTCTATTTGTGTCTTTACTTTATTTCTAATAATCTTGTTGACGTTCTGCTTCTATTGCAGCTCCCATCTAGCTCGTTGTGGATCAACTCCTTGGCCGAATGGAGGGGAAGAAGAAGCGAGCAGCCAAAAGAGCTCATGTCGAGTCACCGTAGTCCACCACACCTGAGCCCGAACAGTCCCCCAATGTGCAACCTCCACACCCGAGGAGGAACAAGGGAAGACCTCCCAACCTCGCACGCCTGAGGAGGCGTCTTCGGAGCCCTCTCCTGCAACCGCTGCATCTTCGGGCAGCAAGGAAATGGTTCAAGAGCAAAAGCGCGGTGTACGCCGAAAAGGTCGCTAGCTGGGCTGAACTATCGGTCGCTCAGCTCGGAGCTCGAGCGGCTACTCAGTACATGGTGGTAAGTTTCGTCTTGACTTCTTTAATTTCGTGTTTAAAACTTCACTGATACTAACTGTGGTTTTTCTTGGCAGGTGAACTCCGTCGTGCACGCTCTGGCGTACCAGTCTGAGCTTCACTTGAAACGGGCTCTAGCAGCTGAGTCTTCATCTCGCAAAGCTCACACCGACTTGAATCTGGCCCGTAGCGAGATCAACCAGCTGAAGAACAATGCCCGGGCTCAGAAGGAGCTCATTTCACTACTAATGTCCAAGAAGGCGACACTAATGTCCGAGAATGCAACGCTGAAGCGAGAGGTGGAAAACCTCGAGGCCCATGTCAAGGAACGAATCGAGGTACTCCTTCAGGCGATGGAAGAGTCCAAAGCAAAGGTCGTCGAAGAGTACAAGAGCTCGGAAGAGTTCCAAGGAGAGCTGATGGAAGCCAGGACGGAAGGTTACCGCAAGGGCTTCAAGCTCAGCAAGTGGCTGACCAGGTGCGAGTTCCCACAACTCGATCTGAGCACTATCACCACCTCGAGGTTACAAATGAAATGGCCATCGAAGCCACTGAAGACCCAGACTCTGAGGCAGAGATTGACGACGAGCCGCTTGACATCGGAGAGGACGGTGCTGACGAAAGGGTTGATCGTCCTACTGAGGCCTCGAACAAGGGCAAAGAGCACTGAGTCTTGTACATCTCGGGCCTGCGAGCTCGGCTTAGAGTAGAGAATTTTCTTCTCTCTTTTTTTTTGTAACGAGCTCTTCACATCAATGAAATACACTTTTTTTCCAAATGCTCTAAGTGCAAATAATTTTCTAACTGACGAACTAACCAAATAAGCATAGGTTACCCCGAACTGTCGAGCTACCGAGCTGGGCTACAAGTAGAGGTAACTTCACACGATGTACCCGAGATGCGTGGACATTATAGGGTATCTACCCGACCTATCTGTTCACAGGCTATTTGGTAATGTTAGTTGTCCCTTTGCTGGGGTTCAACTTTTTCATTGTATGCCAAGGTGGGTTAGACATCGTAGGGTTTATACCTGAACTGTCTATACCTTAGGCATGAAAATGAGTTGCCCATGCCGAAGAGGCGATTAGTTCGTGTTTTCCCATGCTGAAGAGGCGATTGGGACTTGTATGCCCATGCCGAGGAGGCGAATAGGGCTTATGAGGTGCTGAGGTCTTTTGTCAGCTTGACACCTTAACCCTTAAGCTTTGGGAGCGACTCACAATCCGCTCTCCTCACCCTTGGTTTTACCCATGCCGAAGAGGTGATTAGGTCTTGAATGCCCATGCCGAGGAGGTGACTGGGACTTATGTGCCCATGCCGAAGAGGCAACTGGGACTTATCGTAGTGTCGAGGTCTTTTATCAGCTCGACACTTTAGTCATTGAACTTCAGGGAGTGACTCATAGTCCTCTCTCCAGTTCAGCAATCACAGGTAGTATCGCCTTAGATTGCCGATGTTCCACGCTCAAGGTACCTGTTTTCCTTCTAAGGTTTCGAGCTCGTACGTACCTTTCCTGAGTACCCATCTTACTCGGTACGGACCTTCCCAGTTCGGTCCGAGCTTACCAACACTAGGCTCAGGTACCATGACTCTCCTAGGACCGGGTTGCCGACACGAAAGTGTTGTTTCTTGACTCGGGCGTTATAGTACTGAGCCACCCTTTGTTGGTAGGCTATAGTCCGAATGTATGCTAGTTCTCGTACTTCTTCCACCAGGTCGAGGTTGGTGCGGAGCTCGTCATCGTTCGCTTCCTCGTCGTACGCCTCCAGGTGTAATGTAGGTACCTTGATCTCGGCTAGGATTACCGCTTCCGTGCCATAGGTGAGTTTAAAGAGGGTTTCACCTGTGGCGGTCTTAATAGTGGTACAGTAAGCCCATAGCACACTGGGCAGCTCGTCTACCCATAGTCACTTGGCTCGGGCTAAGCGGGCCTTTAGTCCACGGAGTATAGCTCTGTTCGTGACTTCC